GGGCAGGAAGAAGTAAATTTCTCGGAAACAGAAGACGAATCTAAAATCGTATATATTTCCCGAGAGACAAAGCTACCCGATGTGCAGAGAGACTCAAGCTGCGTCCGGGAGGACTGGTGTTTCCTTTCCCACTTTATCAGAACGACACGTACGCATGCCCGTGCAGTTTTACGACGTCATCGTGTACTAAACTGCCACATAAATCCCAGTTTTTAGCTCCTGAAAGATTATTTCCCTCCGACGCGTGACGTGATTTTATAATAACTCTTAACTTGCGACGGTCTTATATTGAAATATTCTCGTAACGTGCGAGCTCGTATTAATCCTATCCCTTGTGCTAAGAATAATTTAATGTCACGCGCGAGGGAGTGTGGCATTTTGTATATAACAATCTTTTTTCTCCGTCTATAATTATAATTTAAATACGAAATAAATATAGATTTCAATACGAAATAAAATATAGAATTTATGTTATTATTAAGAATAATAGACAGGAAACGCTCTTCTCTCGTTTCTCCGCGGTATTTTGATTTCTGGAATGCTTTCAATAATGCCTACAAGCTCGCCAAAGTCCCATTTTACGCAAATCTATTTTGCGCATCCAAAATGACTTCTCGCGGTTTCGCTCGTGCAACGTCTCGAGTCAGTAGTTTAGCCTGAGTTGTGGCAGCCGCGTTGATAGCGCGTCGAACTTCTCCATTTCCGGAGAACGGGCGAAGTGGTCCGCAGTTAATCACCGCTGAGGTATAATCAACGATTGTGTAGAAGCACGCCTAAGACGTGTGCGTGTGTGTATGCGAATACTACGAATCGAAAGCGTATAATGTATCGTTGAAGTGATGCCGGAATAAACTCGCCGTTACCGGGTCTGAACTTCTCGTAGTAGCTTCTCGTAGTCGAGAGTTAATTAGTGTACTTTTCAAGTGATTTACGCGGAGAGAAACTACGCTGATACTTAAGTAAATTATTCAACGAACGGCCGAACCGATTACATATCGACAGGAATGACAGTGTCGATGGACTTTCCACGCGGTTACGAAAGGCGGGCGAGGTCCATGGTGATAATCGGATGTTATCGGCGCTTCGGATTTTCCGCTCACGCTCCGTTACTCCCAGAATTGATTACGCCTCGTTGAAGAGACAGGCTTGCGAGCGAGGTCGTCCTTTAAGCAGATATTCTTCTGTGAGTGTGATTGCGTCACTCGTGGTTAAAAACGCTTAGCGGAATCACATATATTCTATTCAATTCAGAAATCCTTGGCCTTTCAAAACTAATCTTGCACTTGGTATCTCTCTCCCTTTCGTTTCTTTTTATCAAGATAAAAACTTCTACATTTTGCTAGGATGGAAAAATTATTTTCAGGATAGATTGAAAACAGACAGAAATAAATTACGTTTATACACGAAGAACTGTCTTCGAACTGGTTGTTTTACAAACTGTTGAAGAAAGTTTGTTCCTTTCGACAAATTTAATCGAATTCATATTTAAAGAAGAGATGCAAGAGTCGCCGAGTTTCATCCCGCGAAACGTCACAACGATTGCTAGACCATCTCGTAAATACGTACGTACTCTTGTCATCCATAAATGGATTGATTCTCCAGAACGACGCTGTGTTGTTTCTGTTTCATGAGCGGGCTTTAAAACGCGACCGCATCGCAATGATGCAGCCGCGCGAGATGAAATCGATAGACACGTCCCTGAACGACGTCACGGGGGAGAAAACGGGGGAGCTGTCGTTCGTCTCCCTCCTCGTCTTCGTCGCCCGATGACGGAATCATCGAGACGACACGCAGAGATCCCGCAGGGACGGGCGGGGAAGAGGTTGACAAAGAGGAGAATGTCATAGGAGTAAGGGAGAAGAGAGAGAGAGAGAAAGAGAGAGAGAGGGATATATAAAGGGAGACGTAGAGAGAACGTAGTATGGAGGGAGGTACAATGCTGCGGCGCGACAAACAAGGGTGGCGCTAGATACGGTCCTGGACCGGGACCGGAGGTTGTGCCCCCTTTTCTATCCCCCACCCCCCTACCGTTCGGAGTTCTCTCTTCCGTCCTTTTATCTTTATCTATTCTCGAGTATCCCCGCGATCTTCTCTTACACGTATCCGTTGTTCGGTTCACGATAGCGGGAAAAATGCGGCGCCCGAGCGCATCGCACGCATCCGTACGGTGCATGCAGCGTGCGAGGGAAACAGAGAGAGAGAGAGAGAGAGAGAGAGAGAGAAAGAGAGAGAGAGAGAGAGAGACGTATGCAACGTATCGCTACACCCCAAAATCTGATCGATCCATCCGCAGCACGAGTGCCATGGAGCCCCACCTCCCCGCAAATCCGTGCGACAACATCGACGGCTTGATCGCAACCTACCTACCCTTACATGCATTGTGAATCGAGAACACCGCTATTGCAGCATCCCTCCCCCTCCCCTTCCTCCCCCTGAAGCGTCTTCCTGTTCTGGAACCATAACCTGCCGCATCTGATATTTCCCTGTCATCTGTTTCGCGGATTCGCGTACGGCTAAATAAGGTACGTGTTATCGTCGCGCGATCGACAGATCGAGAAATCTTTCGGGGATGAAGCTTACCGGTAATACCTAGTAGGATCCAGCACACGAGGCACAGGACGTAGTAGTTGACGTAGGAGGACCTCCTCATGGTGATCACGACGACAACAATGATGATGACGACGACGACGACGACGACGGCGTAACTGTCCCTGGATCCACTGACATCTCATGGAACACCTCGGTGCATCCCCTTCTCCCGGTGCTTCCTCTGCTTAATAATCATCCGTCGTCGTCCCGCTCATCTTCCAGCCTGATGCTACCAGGAGTCGCGCATACTCCCGCGTTATCCGTCGTTGCAACCCTCTCGTTGCAACCTGTTCGTTGCGGCGTTCTCGTCGCGCACTCACCAATCTTTCCGCCTCTCCCTCTTCCCTTTTTCCTTTCTCTTCTTCCTTCCAACACTGTGATATCACATTATTTTGCCTTGTGTGGATACTCCGCCGCGCGGATACCTCACCGAACGCAAAATCGGCGGATCGCGGCCGAGTTGATCAGTCTAGAGGAGCGGTCCCCGCGCGCAGAATTTATCGTATCCCGGTGCAACCGATCCGGGGATGAGCACCGGATCCTCCTTTAATTACTCCAAAGGAGGAGAACGCAAAGTGTCGCGCGCACCAAGGTCACGAAACGGTCTGCCTCGGCGTTCACAATCGGGATCATCCCCCCCTTATCCTTTTTTTTTTTACCCCGCGATTGTTACTCCTCGTTCTGTGCGGACACTCGGTATACCTCGGATCGGTCGACAGTAACTGTGATACGCGACCGGGGTTTCCCGCACTCGGCTCGTCCGCGGTTTGTCGTCCCGGGCGAAGCTCTGAAACCGCCGGGCCTCCGGTGGCACTGCCCGCGCCCGCCCGGGGATTCCGCGCAGGCGTGCTCTCTCTCCTCTCTACTCTACTCCAGCGGCGATCAGTCAGCCTCCTCCTTCCTCGAGGCCTTCTGCCTTTTCCGCTGCCGCCGCCGCCGCCGCCGCCGCCACCGCCGACACCGTCTTCCACCCCCGCGCTGCGCGCTTCATTCCGCGTCGCGCAGCTTCATCGGCGCTGTACACCCGCTCCAAATTTTTCTTCCCGCTCTTCTCGTCTCCTTCGTTTTTCGCGCCTCCGTCTTCTCCGCTTTCTTTCTTCTTCCTGCCGCTCACCGTACTTCCGCTCGTGTGTCCTATACGACGACAAAACCCGCGATCATTGCTCGTCTCGCAAGCGTGGACAAATTTCACGCTCTTTACATGACGTTATCCTCTCTCTCTCTCTCTTTCCTCTCTGTATATCCTCTCTGGGAATTGAATGGCGCGCTGGCTTAGACCTCCGCGCGCGTGTCCTGTCTTCCGCCAGCAGTCGAGAGAAACTTTAAACATCGCGTCTCCGCTCGTAACAGCGTGTCAGGTTGCGCGGTACCGGAGCGTTTCCCCATCCGCGGATCATTCGTGCTCGTTAATGAGCGTTAAAGAGTTCCCATAGCACCTTAACGGCCTCGTTATTTTTGCCTCTATACGCGTTCTCTCTTTCGAGTTTCTTGTGCTTCAAACACTCTCAAATATTACGGTCATCCTGTTTCTCCCATTCGCTTTCTGTCTCTCTCGCTCGATTTCAACCGCTATGGTCTCGTCTAAATTAATTCTCCGAGTCCCTTCCGGATTCTTGGTTTTTTTTTTTTATTTTTCGTGAGCGTACATTTAACCCTTAGATGTGTGTGCGTTGCGAGTTTAAGTTTTCTTTTCATATTTATGCGATCCGAAGTTTCTCAACTGGAAACAACTTATGCAACGCGAGAAAATGGCGAGAAAGAGATCTCTCGCCAGACGAGACGTAAATTATATTTACACAGATATTTCCCAGAATATAATCGCATTTATATGAAAAAAGAAATTTTTACGAAAACAATTGTATAATTGGATACGTATTCATGTGCTACATTAAATAATGTTTCTCGGGTACCTACGCAATATGCAACGTTGAAATTGAGGTAGACCGCCTGGAACAGAATGGCGGAAATGTATTTGGAGCCCCTCGTCTCATCGTGGAGCTCCAACTCGCTTCGCTGTGGACAAATGTTAAGCCGCTTACGGTATGAATCTTATCCCCGGAGACTGATGTGCAGCGGGCTTGGCTATTTAATAGGAAAAAAAAAGTATCGCTGTCGCGCTTTTGTTCGTCTTCTCTTCAAACACAACGGACCGTTCTGTATCAGCTTTCTCGCTCTTCGAGACATTTAGACAATAATGTCCTGATTTTGTTCCACTTTGATTTAATGAACGAGTTTTGATAATATTAAAAAATCTATTTTACTCTTTTATATTGCTTGTATTGATATTTTCTCTGTGTTATTTACAATATTGTATATTTTATTACGTATTTAAATTGTGTGCTCTACTTTATTATTGATATCGTATTCGATGCTTTCGTGTGCAATTTCAGTTGTATTATGTTTAATGGTTGTTCTCTGTCGCTAATAAATATAATATTACAAATATATAAATATATTAAATTCGTCGAGAAACAGATTTCAATTTCGGCGTCCGACATGTTTTGCATAATTTACGATGGAAAGGTTTTCCGTTCGATGTTATCTAGACGAATATCGTTCCAAGCTTTCACGTCCGCTTGCCAAAATTAACCGCCGTCGTCTTTGAAACTAAGTTTTCGTATCACGTCGAGTTCATGGGACATTGACGTAATTTGTAGTATAAGATAGATAGATAGATAGATAGATAGATAGATAGATAGATAGATAGATAGATAGATAGATAGATAGATAGATAGATAGATAGATAGATAGATAGATAGATAGATAGATAGATAGATAGATAGATAGATAGATAGATAGATAGATAGATAGATAGATAGATAGATAGATAGATAGATAGATAGATAGATAGATAGATAGATAGATAGATAGATAGATAGATAGATAGAGAGAGAGAGAGAGAAAATATACGACGGTATTTGGTAAATTATACAACTTCATTCTCCCAGATATATGTATATGATCGACTGATCACATCCGCATCGTTCCTACTGCAAGACTTTCTTATCTCCTCGCTTACACCTTCCTTTACTAGCGCATCTTTAGAAAACTAACATTACTCAACCCGTTATTTTGCATGAATAACTATTATTTAAAGAGTATATATTAATTGATCAAAGATAGTAACAGAAAGATTAATTCATCAAAAAACAGATAGAAAAAAATTATTCGTAGATAAATAAATATTCTTCTATCGTTATACATATTAGAATTTTAAAACAATCCGCAATCCGCTTGGACAAATGATGGTAGTGTACCAACTTTTTCGACGAGATCAAAAACACCGCCGTGGGATGACTCGGTTCTCGATCGAAACAGACGAAAGTCGATCGGCTTGTTCGCTTCTCGCCGGCCCTTCACCTCACCTTCAGACAACCCGAAGGGTCATATCACCGATGGAAAATCCTACGCTTTTCATGGCGCATCGAACTGGCTGAGACGACGTTAACCTTATCGTCGGCTCCAGAATTGCGCGTCTCCCGTCGTGGGTTGTCCCGTATCGATAACCCATAGAAAGATAAACTTTGCACGTGACTGATAAACCGTCGAAAATCTACAAAAAGCGCGGCGCACTCTGACGAGCCGATTAGTCATTTTTTTATTGATGTATCCGTCTCTTTCTCTCCCTCTCTCTCTCTCTCTCTTCTCTCGCTTTCGCGCATCCTCACGTATGTCACTCTTTTGTCTCGCGACGCGCTGAAACTTTCAGACGCGCTAAATTGCTGCCCCTTTTGCGGGAAAACTCGCGGGAGGAATTACGGGCAGTGCGAGATACATGGCCCGAGAGAGCCATTAATAAAACATCGTTTACCCTTAAACCATCTCCCAGCTTTTCTGACTGTGGCCGCGGCAATTCCGTCGCTGCGTAAGGATAGATCATAAGTGCGTGCGCGCGATTCCAATTCTCGGTATTTTGAAAGTTAGCTACGAGAAAATATCCACGTTGCTGACGTTATCCTCTCTCTCTCTCTCTTTCCTCTCTGTATATCCTCTCTGGGAATTGAATGGCGCGCTGGCTTAGACCTCCGCGCGCGTGTCCTGTCTTCCGCCAGCAGTCGAGAGAAACTTTAAACATCGCGTCTCCGCTCGTAACAGCGTGTCAGGTTGCGCGGTACCGGAGCGTTTCCCCATCCGCGGATCATTCGTGCTCGTTAATGAGCGTTAAAGAGTTCCCATAGCACCTTAACGGCCTCGTTATTTTTGCCTCTATACGCGTTCTCTCTTTCGAGTTTCTTGTGCTTCAAACACTCTCAAATATTACGGTCATCCTGTTTCTCCCATTCGCTTTCTGTCTCTCTCGCTCGATTTCAACCGCTATGGTCTCGTCTAAATTAATTCTCCGAGTCCCTTCCGGATTCTTGGTTTTTTTTTTTTATTTTTCGTGAGCGTACATTTAACCCTTAGATGTGTGTGCGTTGCGAGTTTAAGTTTTCTTTTCATATTTATGCGATCCGAAGTTTCTCAACTGGAAACAACTTATGCAACGCGAGAAAATGGCGAGAAAGAGATCTCTCGCCAGACGAGACGTAAATTATATTTACACAGATATTTCCCAGAATATAATCGCATTTATATGAAAAAAGAAATTTTTACGAAAACAATTGTATAATTGGATACGTATTCATGTGCTACATTAAATAATGTTTCTCGGGTACCTACGCAATATGCAACGTTGAAATTGAGGTAGACCGCCTGGAACAGAATGGCGGAAATGTATTTGGAGCCCCTCGTCTCATCGTGGAGCTCCAACTCGCTTCGCTGTGGACAAATGTTAAGCCGCTTACGGTATGAATCTTATCCCCGGAGACTGATGTGCAGCGGGCTTGGCTATTTAATAGGAAAAAAAAAGTATCGCTGTCGCGCTTTTGTTCGTCTTCTCTTCAAACACAACGGACCGTTCTGTATCAGCTTTCTCGCTCTTCGAGACATTTAGACAATAATGTCCTGATTTTGTTCCACTTTGATTTAATGAACGAGTTTTGATAATATTAAAAAATCTATTTTACTCTTTTATATTGCTTGTATTGATATTTTCTCTGTGTTATTTACAATATTGTATATTTTATTACGTATTTAAATTGTGTGCTCTACTTTATTATTGATATCGTATTCGATGCTTTCGTGTGCAATTTCAGTTGTATTATGTTTAATGGTTGTTCTCTGTCGCTAATAAATATAATATTACAAATATATAAATATATTAAATTCGTCGAGAAACAGATTTCAATTTCGGCGTCCGACATGTTTTGCATAATTTACGATGGAAAGGTTTTCCGTTCGATGTTATCTAGACGAATATCGTTCCAAGCTTTCACGTCCGCTTGCCAAAATTAACCGCCGTCGTCTTTGAAACTAAGTTTTCGTATCACGTCGAGTTCATGGGACATTGACGTAATTTGTAGTATAAGATAGATAGATAGATAGATAGATAGATAGATAGATAGATAGATAGAGAGAGAGAGAGAGAAAATATACGACGGTATTTGGTAAATTATACAACTTCATTCTCCCAGATATATGTATATGATCGACTGATCACATCCGCATCGTTCCTACTGCAAGACTTTCTTATCTCCTCGCTTACACCTTCCTTTACTAGCGCATCTTTAGAAAACTAACATTACTCAACCCGTTATTTTGCATGAATAACTATTATTTAAAGAGTATATATTAATTGATCAAAGATAGTAACAGAAAGATTAATTCATCAAAAAACAGATAGAAAAAAATTATTCGTAGATAAATAAATATTCTTCTATCGTTATACATATTAGAATTTTAAAACAATCCGCAATCCGCTTGGACAAATGATGGTAGTGTACCAACTTTTTCGACGAGATCAAAAACACCGCCGTGGGATGACTCGGTTCTCGATCGAAACAGACG